GATTATACATTTTACTGATACCAATTATATAATATTTACCTTGTTTATTAAAAATAAAAATAAAATATTTTTTAAAATATATTTTAATTTTAATTTAAATGTTGTATGTGGGAAGAGGTGGGGTGGCGCCCCTAGCGCCCCTATGGGCTGGCCGCCACTGTGTGGCAGATATTTAAGTAAGCTTTCTTAACGCTAATGTTATAATAGTCAGATTGCTCTGAAGATGGAGGTGATATTCTATTAATGTTCACGTTCATACAGTCGGTGATTTTTGCCGGCCGTCTTTCCTGCAACGGCAGCTTTTCTGTATTTCCTTTCTCCTGTAATATGACTTGATCGCTTAACACTCCGCACACTGAGCTCTGATTGGTCAGCAGGCAGTGCTTTCACTGAGTTGATCTCTTAGCCTGCAACCTAACCTGCTCCGGAGCAGGTTAGCCGCTAAGCATAAGTTACCATGGAGATCTAGCTTGCTAAAAAGAGAACCAGCTTCGTAGGACCGGAAACCCAGAGTTTTCCCTGAAGTTAGCCGGCTAAGTGAAAATCCTGCTTCGTAGTATAAGCCTCAGGTTGAATTGAGGCGAATATTTGTAATATTCAGAGGTTGTTGTGTTTAATATTCATGAGAATATTTGTCATTGTTCAAATGATAATAAACATTTGCATAAAGCATATGTGTCCACTCATATGTTAAGAGTATTAAAAACTTTAAAAATATTCCTTTAAGGTACATTTAGAACAGATAAAAAATGTGCGATTAATCGCGATTAACTATGGTAAATCATGCGATTAATCGCGATTAAATATTTTAATCGACTGACAGCCCTACAAAAAACACTATAGGCTATGCTCTGTTTAGCTTTCTGCTAGTAATCCTACATTTTTAAAAGTATACAGTAGCAGTATTCTGATTAGACCTTTTTAATTTATTTTATTGTTAGGAAATAGAGTTATTTTTTGATATCCTGATCACAATATCCCAACACAGTCTCACATCTAAACGTGTAATAACTACGTTGGTCCACAACTTGGGACGTAGTATTTCTACAAAATGTCTCTGAAATTGTAAGATCCCTACGTTTTTTTTCACCATTCATTTCCAATGGCTGGCGTCTATGTCACGTGATCTTCACATTTCTCTCCGCATACAAATAAAACATGGCCGACCTTCGTTTTATTCTCGGTGGAAAATGCCTATTTTAAGGTTAGTTTGGCCATTAAAATGCGTTGTGATGTCATTTGATGCGAGAAATATGAGTTGTTATTTTAGATTATGTGTGCAGTGGACGCACATGATCTTTAGTTTGCTATTTATTACGAAGATTACTTCAGGAAATGTGTCCATTCAACGTTTTTATTGTTACCTGTTACGGTGTGCAGGAAGCAGGACCCCAAATGCAGATTAAGTGACAAAATAATTCCTTTATTTCAAGGCTACAATATTCAGAGACAGAACAGAACACTCACCGCAGTTTACTCACAACACAAGACGAACCGACACTGAACACAGGAAGAGACACGACTAAATACAGGAAGGGGTAATCACAAGACGAGACACAGCCGGGCAGGGGAGGAGAAACACAAGGGCCACAGGTGAAAACAATCAGACAACTAGACACACCAGGGAAACTAACGACGGGAGGAAAAACACAGGAAGAAGGACCAGACAATATACAAGGATGAAAATACCCATAACCAGACATACAAAACTACAACACAGACAGATCCTAACAGTACCCCCCCCTCAAGGGACGGATCCCAGACGTCCCAAAACAAAACCACAAAACGTCCAAAACCACAAGCAGGGTGGGTGGAGGGGGTCCGGAGGAGGGACGCACCACCAGGCCACCAGGGCGGGCGGAGGGGGACCAGAGGAGGGACACAAAACTAGGGCCAACAGGGTGGGTGGAGGGGGTCTGGAGGACGGGCTTGGGCTGACAGCCCAGGGGCAAGGCAGAGCTTGAAAAGGGGGTTATGGAGGGGCGAAGGCAGTGGCAGGAAGAGTCAGGGGGCCGGGCCCGAGGGCGAGGACCGCGGCACTCAGGGGGCCGGGCTCGAGGGCGAAGACCGCGGCTCTCAGGAGGCCGGGCAGAACCCGGTGTCGGCCGGACAGAAACCGGCGCTGGTGGGACAGGCCTCGGCAGGATCCCCCATGGAAGAGGACCAGGAGTTGGCAGAACCCCCGCCAGGAGGGCAGTCGGCGGGACCTCCAACGGGACAGGACACAGAGTTGACAGGACCCCCGGCAGAAGGGCAGTCGGCGGGACCCCCAACGGGACTGGACATGGAATTCGCAGGACCCCCGGCAGGAGAGTAGACGGCGGGACCTCCAACGAGACAGACATGGAGTTGGCAGGACCCCCAGCGGAACCTCCAACGGACCAGGACATTGGGTAGGAACTTGAGACGTGACTCAAGTAGGGACTCGAGAGGAGACTCGAGAGGGGAACCAACGGGGAACTCGAGAGGGGAACCAAGGGGGAACTCGAGAGGGAACTCGAGAGGAGACTCGAGAGGGGAACTAGAGAGGGGACTTGAGGAGGGACTAGAGGAGGAACTAGAGGAGGAACTAGAGGAGGGAACTCGAGAGGGGACTTGAGAGGGGACTTGAGGAGGGACTAGAGGAGGGACTAGAGGAGGGAACTCCAGAGGGGACTGGAGAGGGGACTCCAGAGGGGACTAGAGGAGAGAGGAGGGACTAGAGGAGGAACTAGAGAAGGGAACTCGAGAGGGTACTCGAGAGGGGAACTCGAGGAGGGACTAGAGGAGGGAACTCCAGAGGGGACTCGAGAGGGGATTCCAGAGGGGACTAGAGGAGGGGCTAGAGGAGGGACTAGAGAAGGGAACTGGAGAGGGGACTGTGGCTGCTCGGGCCAGAACTGGGGCTGAAACCATGGCTGCTGGGGACTGTACTAGGTCTGGAACCATGGCCGGAAATATGGCTGTATGATCCAGTTCTGAAGCCGGAAACATGGCTGTATGGGCCGGGTCTGGAGCCGGAATTGAAGCCAGAATCATGGCTGTAAGGTCCGGTTCTGAAGCCGGAAACATGGCTGTAAGGTCCGGTTCTGAAGGCGGAAACATGGCTGTAAGGTCCGGTTCTGAAGCCGGAAACATGGCTGTAAGGTCCGGTTCTGGAGCCGGAAACATGGCTGTAAGGTCCGGTTCTGAAACCGGAAACATGGCTGTAAGATCCCGTTCTGAAACCGGAAACATGGCTGTAAGATCCCGTTCTGAAGCCGGAAACATGGCTGTATGGGCCGGCTCTGGAGCCGGAACCATGGCTGCTAGGACCGGTACCTGAGTACGAGCTGGCTTCCTGACCTTGCGTCTTTTAGAAGTCTTTTGGAGGCTCCGTGGACCTCCAAACGCCAGGCGGGATCCCAAGAAAGGGTCAGAGAATGGAGACTGGCACTCAGGTCTGCGTGAGAAAACTCTGAGAAACTCAGGCAATGAGCCTCTCAACCATGGCATGTTGTCCACCTCCATTTGTGCCTTTTTGAGGACAGCCTCTTTGTCCCTTGTAGCCAAGGTTCTACTCCATTCAGCATAATGACACTGAAGAGTGTACTCTAGGGATAACAAGTCCAAATCAAAATTAAAATCCGCTGGGTCCATTGTGGGTCGGTTCGTAATGTTACGGTGTGCAGGAAGCAGGACCCAAATGCAGATTTAAGTGACAAAATAATTCCTTTATTTCAAGGCTACAATAATCAGAGACAGAACAGAACACTCACCGCAGTTTACTCATAACACAAGACGAACCGACACTGAACACAGGAAGAGACAAGACTAAATACAGGAAGGGGTAATCACAAGACGAGACACATCCGGGCAGGGGAGGAGAAACACAAGGGCCACAGGTGAAAACAATCAGACAACTAGACGCAGGGAAACTAACGACGGGAGGAAAAACACAGGAAGAAGGACCAGACAATATACAAGGATGAAAATACCCATAACCAGACATACAAAACTACAACACAGACAGATCCTAACATTACCAAGGTGGTTGCTAGGGACGCTGCTATCGATATTATTTCTGTTATGTTGTGTAACTGTTTAATGGTGTTAACTTTATTGCTACCCTCTTCCCCGTTAATGTATAGTGTTGGTCCACAGCGCAAACGTATTAGTTTAACAAAATCTGCATCTAAAATTGTGGCATCGATACGTTATTTTCCCCTGTGCAATTCTCCAGCCCAGTCTCACATCTCACAGCACATCGTCATAAGCAATACCGGAAACAGACGTAGGCAATATCCTCAGCTCGGTGATTGGAGGGTTTAGCCGCAATGCATGCTGGGATTTGGTGTTTATGCGATGTGAAATCCGAAAACATTTTTTTTAAATAAAATAATACTTTATTCCGAGTGTGCTTGCTTTTCTCTTTGGAGGTCATCACATACCGGCATTGTAATACACGGTTCGGCTGCATTAAATATTACATATCTGCCGTAGTTCTTTATTTATAGAGCCCTGATGAGAAGACTTCTAGACAAACATGAGGAACTGCCGCAAACACTGAAAACGTGACGTGGATCATAAATATATCAGTAATTAAACAACATCTTACATTTCTTTTCACACAATACGTCTCCTTGCAGTATCAACACTAATTCGTCTGACTTTTATATTTGATCCAATTGGTAGATAGGCTGTATTTAAACCATAACCGTGCAGAGCTGATAGAAAGGGACACCTAGTGGGTTGCCATGTCATGTTTTAACTAGTTCAGAGAGAGTAAACAACATATTTGGGGAGATAGACTAAACAGCTGGGCACCCTGAATCACTTGCGTCTGACCCTTAATGGCCTCGAAGCCAGTGTTCCCACAGCCGTAAACCATTTCGTGACCGAGAGTTGAACTGGTTTATCAAGATAGCTGAAGCCTCCCATTCCTTAAGAGAGATACATATATATATATATATATATATATATATATATATATATATATATATATAGTACTAATGCAGTGTAAAATGTTTTGCTTCCCACAGGTGTCCATATCTTTGGCCTGTGTGTGACAGCGCTGATAACGGACATCCTCCAGCTGTCCACCGGGCAGCACACCCCCTACTGGCTGGATGTGTGTAAGCCCAACCTGACCCACATTAACATGTCCACCTGTGATGAGGCTTTTATTCTGGAGGACATCTGCTCTGGACAAGACCCTGGGCTCATCAATGCTGGGAGGTGAGGCTCAGTGTCACTGTGGGAGGGAACTAGAGTGTCAGAGGACGTGTGGGTTTATTGGTATTAAGTTATGAAAGGTAGAAAAAAGCTTTAAACTACAGTATACGTCATCACTGTCTCTGATGGATGTTTTACCATGATGACATTATAAACTAAATATATAGAGTGGTTTAGGAATGGTAAACCCGGAAATGAGTGAGCATTTTAGCACTTCCAGTTCCCTCGTGTTGAAGTTTTTGAAGGAGATTTTGGTTAGATTCCCAAAATAGGGACTTTGATTAGAACAAGCTTACAAGATTCTCCAGTTTTGTTCTATGACATATAATACGTCACTAAATACCCCACTGGTGAATGTCTAAGGCTTTGATGTGTCTTTAAAACAGCGGGTGCTAACAAGTGGCTAAATGAGACTACTAAACGCCGTCACACCAAACAGTTTTAATGATAATAAAAGTGGTGTTAATATGTGGAGATAATCCTGCTGAATCAAACGTGTTAGTATCATACTGCTAACATGTGTTTGCAAAGTTACAAATCATCACGGCAAACATTAGCCGCCTTTAGCCGTAGCCTACAATTTGCTTTAATTCTGGTAATTGCATTTAAACCTAAACTATTGTAAAAATGTTGTTAATATGAAGGGTTTATCCTGCTGAACATTACGTGTTAGTATCATAAGTGTAGGGCCTAAGTATAAAAGTCACGGCTCGCCACTGGTGCACAGCTTTATTACCTGCTGCTATAGTGGCCTGATGCACGTTTGAATTATAGATACCACTGAAGGTGGACACTATGGGCAGGGGCGGCGCCAGGGGGGAGCTAGGGGGTGCTGAAGCACCCCCCCAGGATTGCCAAAGCACCCCCTAAGCAGCCCCAAGAAATATGTGTTTTTTTTTAGTTTGTTTTTATTATTATTATTATTATTATTAAATTAGAAACATTATTGATTACATCAATGCAAATGTGAAAAAAACACATTTTTGACCAAAAACATAAAGCCAACACAGGTGATATGATTAGGCCAATGGCCAGCACCCATTCAATTTTTGACCTACCCATAGGCTAAATGACTTTGTGACACTTGAGTGACTTCCTGTTAGCTAGAGCGCCAAATGATTTGCTAACAGCAAAGTGAAACATTTATCGTTTTTTAGTCCTTAAACGTCCACGTGTGGACACTCAATCAAAACCACCTGAAAGCGAGAGGGATTCTGCACATAATAGCCTAGCCTCGTGAGTACAAGTAGCTTACTTCTGGATCTCTGTGTTTCATTCAAGCTCTGCTCTGTGTGTGTGTGGCACGAGCCATTTTGTGTGCGTGCGCGCGAGCGAGAGCTCGCGCACCGGTGGGTATCTACTGGAGATCGTTGTGGTTAGCATCTGGTGCTAGCTAGCCAAGCTAACGGATATAAGGAGCTTTTTCAACAACAAGGTGGAGGGAGAACTCTCTCCTGTCAGACGGAGAGTCTCAGGTAACCTCAGCTCAGGTGAAGTAAAGGACTCTCAGTGTTTAGATAGTTAACTTTAGTCTAGTTATCTCAGTGGGTCTCAAACGGTTTGTTTTAAAAGGGGAGTGATTTGTAAAATATCTATAAAGAAATAGAACATCTGTTTACAGTTCTGTTTCATATGGGTGTTGTTGAGAGATGTATCCATAGATCTCTTAATGTTGCTCTCAAAGTGCACCAGATTGATGCTTTTAACTTCAATATTTAAAAAAAAATCTTCCCGGGGAAGCATGCCCTCAGGCCTCAGACCCCACTAGAGGAGGTTAGGTCCCCCCCCACTTATAAAAATAGCACTTTACCCCTGCTTACACCTATATGCCGTGAGCTGATTATCGAGCCTTCATTGTTACAGTCGCAGGTACACTGTGTGTGCGTGTGGGGAGTGTTGCAGTAGAAAATGAAACTGTAGCGCTGGTGCATTAATGGGAAACCCTTAATGTTGAGCACCCTCTATGAAACGTCAAGCTACCCCACAGCACCCCTAGAGAAAATCTCTGGCGCCGCCACTGACTGTGGGAGATGGGCTGCGTTGATTTGACCCATGACTCCGCCTGTCTTTAAGCAACACTGAGCAAGACATTGTGTATCTACGCAAATAATGTGCATGTTAATGTTATCCGCTATATCTAGCAACAGATACTGCACGGGGCTCTACAGTTAAACCATTATTTGTAGCAGCTCCACAATGCTAACACTCATTAACAGTCTCTCAAGTGCTTTTGAAACACTGTGCTAAAGGAATGATGCTTCGACTAAAAGCCTGCTCTCCTCTCACTAAACTGCGAATGCCACTTCAACTGTGGGGACAAGAGACGTCATAAACTCAAATTTAGAGTTCAATGCCAATATAAGTGAAATTCTTAATACCAATTGACACCACGTTGAAAACAGCACAATATATCCCAGGTACTTTAAGCACCATTTTTTTGTTTTGCTTAGGGTTTTGTTACAAAGTTAAGCACTGCCACATTAATTTACTTTGTTATGCCCAATACTAATCTTTACTGAATAGAGCTTGAGTGCACCAAACTAGAAATGGTTATTGACATACACTGCAGTATCAGCATGACCTATACAACTTTTTTTATATCTTAGCTAAACACACACATTAGAGTTGTTTCCCTGCTTTTACCCTTCAGATACTGCATCTATTAAACACCACCTGCTAGGACACACACACACACACACACACACACACACACACACACACACACACACACACACACACACACACACACACACACACACACACACACACACACACACACACACACACACACACACACACACGTTTCTTTGAAAGTCACCTCCATGTTTCAGATGAATATTCACATGGACCTTAGCTGTCTGAATATGATAATTGTGTCTGTTTTATTTTCTTTTTTTTAAAGGAAGACATTCCCCTCCCAGCATGCAACTCTGGCTGCTTTCGCTGCGGTCTACATCTCAGTAAGTGCTTATTATACACTCTCTCAACATCTGGCCACAGAAGGTGCAGACAGGTCTTTTCCACATATTTAGAAATCTAAATAAATGTAAATGAAGAAAAATAGCATTCTCAGCAGACTATCACAGGTGTAGGAATACATTTCTTATATCAGCTTTAACAGAGGGCTGGTTGTGTGTTTCAGATGTACTTCAACGCGGTGTTGACGGACTCGGCCAAGCTGCTGAAGCCTCTGCTCGTCTTCTCCTTCATCATGCTCGCCATCCTGGCCGGCCTCACCAGGATCATCCAGTTCAGGAACCATCCTGTGGACGTGTACTGCGGCTGGCTGCTGGGAGCTGCCATCGCCGTTTATCTGGTAACACCCTCACAGGATGTTTCGTTGGAAGTTTTTTGTGTAGCTTAAATAGCAGAACATTTACAGTGACTCTTACAGATACACATTTCCACTGCATTGATATTGCCAACAAGGCGGAGGCATCTCATAACTTAGCAGATAATGAAGGTCATGAAGAGCCATTGTGCTCTGAACTAAATATGAGTAGCCGTGTCATAGTGAAGACACAGAGGGATGTTGCACTATAAATGATCATCGCTAATTAAATGTGAGGGTTGAAACTGCATCCATAGCAACGTAACTTTGTAACCTTTTCTCATTGCTCATTTCGTGTGGAAGTTGCTCTGGAGGTAGACACTCTCGCTGGACTGCTTTTCTCTTTTTGTTCATTTATTATTCATGAGAAACACGACAGCGTCAGGTGAGAAGAGTGGTACATATGTGAATAGAATCAAAGAGGGCATATTCTGCAAATGTTCAGCTTCATATCAGTATGTAGAGTAGGGATGGGTACCGAGCAGAGTTGGGTGTAACGCGTTACAAAGTCTCTTTGACAGACCAGAGGGATTTCCGCCGCAGGTTTATATGTACGTAACTTTGCGCGACTTGCGCGTCCACGTGCAGTGCTGCATAAACATGGCTGAGTCAACAGCGATAACTTTCGAGGGGTGGAGGTATGCCCATTATTTTGAGTTCCTCCGAAGAATAGACAGGAATGTGACGGTGAGGTGCAAACTGTGTCCAGGCCAGAAGCTGTTATCCACTGCTGTAAACACCACGTCAAACCTCAACAAGCACCTGCAAAGAACACATGCTAAGGTGAAGCTAATAGCTAAGGAGGACCTGGCAGAAGACACTACACTACCCAGAATCCTCAGCTATCGTTTGGGACTACACCATGTGCTTTGCTTGACAAACCCCGTGATTTGTCCTCAAGCTCTGTGATTGGATGTTGGAGTGGTAGTGCGCAAAGTTTACGCCGAGCGTCAAACAGCATTTTGAAATGGAATGAAACCCATCGACTGCACACTATTCAAAACAGGAATCGAACGTCTCCCCCTGTATCGGTCCTTGTGACAGCGGAGCTGCAGCAGTCTGTTGGAGAAGGAGCTCCGTTGACTGTCCAGCTGCAGGTGGAGAGGATGGGTGGGGTTATCCATGATGGACAACAGCCTGTTCAGTGTCCTCCTCTCCACCACAGCTTCAAAGGGGTCCAGCTTGATGCCGATGACAGACCCAGCTTTCCTGATCAGTTTATTGATCCTGCTGGTGTCACCGGCTCTTATGCTGCCCCCCCCCCCCCCAACAGACCGCAGCAAAGAAGAGTGCACTGGCCACAACAGACCGGTAGAAGATCTCCAGCATCTTGCTGCACACGTGGAAGGATCTCAGCTTCCTCAGAAAATAGAGTCTGCTCATCCCCTTCTTGTACACAGCGTCAGTGTTGATCCTCCAGTTCAGCCCATAAGTGCACTCCCAGGTACTTGTAGTCCTCCACAACAGCCACATCCTCTCCTAGAATGCGGCTGTTGTGCCAGACGGCAGCAGACAGAACAGTTTGTGGCTCGGGTGATGGGGTCTTTTATAATCCTGAGGGCTTTCTTTAAGGTTAACCTGGTATTTTTACTCCACTACATTTATTTGAGTTACTTTGCAGATTCTGATTAATGATGTGAAATATAAACAACCCTTAAATCAGACTTTAGTTACACCTGAGTAAAATGCAGGGAAGGTGATTGTCAAGTGCCAACAATCAGGAGAGATATTTGATAGTTGGTGCTTGAGAAGACTAAACATGTATCTGCAGATCTCTATAAAGTATATTCATTACTCGTTATTCTCTACTAATAGTTCATTATAAACTGTATATAATTGCTATTTTGCACATCCCTTTCAAGATTTCAAGATGTTCTAAGGTTTATTGACGTATCATATACACAACTATGGTGTAGTTATGCAATGAATGAAAAACTTGGGTCAGAGGTTCCTCAACAGTCTATTACAAGACATCTATCAATATGTGTGTACCTCCACCATTAAACTGTCATATTCTGCACATTTCTTATACTATCTACATACATAAGAGTATAATCCATATGTATAATATCAGTTAAAATAAGTGCTTCAACATAGTTAATATTGCAGGAAAGCAATATATTAGACGTTAAGTACTTTGTCAGGCTTAATATTTATATGTAGATAGATACCCCCAAAGTTTTCTCTTATTTAAAAGAAGACCTTAACTTAAAGTATTCTTTAATGTTTAAATAAAGACTTAGTAGTTTGTCTGTTTTGCACATCCTCCTATCAGGCACTAAACTGTTTTATTCTAGAGATCACTTACAGTATCTTCTTGATATTTTCTATTCTATATTTATATCATTGACCTTCTACTTTCCCCCTATTTTGTATGTACTCTTAATATTTAAATGTTTTCATCAAATATAACACATTAAAAAGTGCTTTACAAAAATGAAAGACATTAAGAAAAAGGCATTTTTAAACAGTCATTAAAAAGCAACACAATCTACCTGCATTGCAATTACTCTAAACGTGTAATAACGTGTTTTAACCAGTAGGTGGTTTGGGTTAAAAAGCTGTCAAGTTTACAGTGTTAACACAATAAAATATACTGCTGTTTCTGGTTTAGTTTACGACGGATATATTCTGTTATTGTTTTGATATTTGTAACACAAAAGCGATGGAAAAACCCCACAGCAACACAGAAAAGATGGTCTTAACATGACCCAGCGGTCTAGTAGTTAATAAAAAAACAATAATATCAAAACTAAATATTACTATAACTTTATTGTGAAATTAAAACAGAACGGTAAAAGAATAGTTTCCTGTCTATTCTGAGGCCAGGGGGGTATACTACGATTTTTTTTTTTAGGAAAGGACATGCCTGAAAGACACGACATTTTCTCCTTCTCTGAGGGTCAAGAAGAACATCCAAGAGGAACATTAAAAGCTGATGTTATGAGATTTTAAGACCAGTACAGGACATTCACTAAGAAACTACTTTTTATTGTGAAAACAAAGATCTGCACACCAAATATTTGTGTAGTCTATCAGGACCATCATTTGTTTGTGACGCTGCCTGCACCTCAGAGAAGGGGTGGTTATAGTCAGGCTTATAAAGTGTGGCGAAAAACATAGTCAGCTGATGGGATGCATCTATTTCCACATCTACACTCCATCAGCTGATTATTTCTATTTGCCTCACTTTATGAGCTTCACATCACTTGTGCCTTGTATCGCAGAGTTTGCAACATCACAAATAAATGGGGCCAATCTTCAGTCAGATGTGAATGTGTAATCTAACATTTTCAGTAAGAATAATGGACGAAAGGAGTGCAAATACAAATACAATTTATTGAAATGTGAACCAAAAGTTAATCAAATGTTTTAAATAAAAAGCACATATGGACAGAAGGTGTAAACCTATTAAATGTATAAGTAAACACATGTAGTCAAATAAAGTGACAGACTAGGCCTGTGCAGTTGGTATCAGCTTTGCCCAGCATGGGCTCCTCCATCAGGCCTGGTCCTCCTCGCTGAGGAAAAACCCTCAGTCCTCTCCAAACCAACAGACAGGACGTCCATCACACGGAGGTTTCTCCCTGAAGTCTCTGCAGCTCTCTGGACGCCACGCTGTCTCAATCCGTCCACACTGAATATGAGAGGGGGAAAATGAAAATAATAAATGCTTTAGACCAGTGGTTCCCAAACGGTGTGCCGCGGCACACTGGTGTGCCGTGAGGCAAGTCCGGGTGTGCCGTGGGATTTTGTGACAACCAACCGTTATTATTGCAATATACAACTACAAAAAAATAATTATTTTTAAATGTACTATATCAGTACTTTGTAGGTTTATATGTACGTAATCTGCGCGATTTGCACGTCCACATCTCCACGTGCAGTGCTGCATAAACATGGCTGAGTCAGCGATAACTTTCGAGGAGTGGAGGTATGCCCATTATTTTGAGTTTGTCCGAAGAATAGACAGGAATGTGACGGTGAGGTGCAAACTGTGTCCAGGCCAGAAGCTGTTATCCACTGCTGTAAACACCACGTCAAACCTCAACAAACACCTGCAAAGAACACGTGCTTTTTTGTTTATATCACGGAGTCTGTTCTTCTTCTCTGTCTTCCGGTTGTTGCCTGTTTTGAATGACAAATACACACTACCGCCGCCCACTGGTAAGGAAAGTTATTGCCACTCACCCATGCGCAGTTCGTACGTGCTCGGCGAGTAAAGTAACGAGTTACTTTATGTAGATAGTAACGAAGTAGTGTAATATATTACTTTTTAAAAAGTAATATGTAATATATAACGACCCAATCTCTGGAGTTGGCGTTCTCTACTCTGGTTTACATGAAGAACAACAGGAGGTCACGGCTCTCTGTTGAACAGGACTTGCGAGTGGCCCTCTCCTCAGTGCCACCAAGGATTAAAACATTCTGCGCGCCCCGACAGGCACATGTATCTCACTAATTTGTAAGTCGGCAAACATATTTACAATAGCACATGTTTCAATGCTGATTGCTGAAATGTTACATTTATAATTTGTAGTTCAGGACCATGGACAATGCAGCTACCTTGCATTGACAGTTCTCTGTGCTGAATTTCTGCTGAGTTTCCTTTGCCTAATTTTTAATGTTGTGACCTGTCTGGTTTAAATGAGTGTGTTGCTGCTTTGATGAAGCCTAATTTGGTAAAGTTTCAAATTAACTTCTGAAATATTTAGTTAATAAATATTTCATGAGTAATATAGTTGTCTTTGTCACATTTGATTTGGCATTAGTAAATAATTATGCACATTTACAGATATTTTACATGATATGAGTGATAACACGTGTTATAAGGGCTATTTTGCACAATAGGTGTGCCTTGAGATTTTTACTTGTCCTTTGGTGTGCCTTGGGCACAAAAAGTTTGGGAACCACTGATCTAGACAATAAGAAACATAAAGTTGACTGTTGAGTTGCTCAGTTTTTTTAGATTGTCAATACTATTA